ATTTAGTAGGCTGTCTAACTTCTGCAGCGATGTCAATGCAGTCAACTCGATACGCGAAATGGCATTGGGTTTCCTTGATAATGAAATGCGTCCACACGGACAATGCCGTCATTTAAAGCGGGCCGTAAGTGACTTCGACTTCGACATCTTCATTGCTGTAGAGCGGCGTTCTGTCCCGCGTTTCGATCTGCGTCCCACAGCATGTTGAGCAGGTTTGCGTTCCCCAGTGAAATTGGTAGTTTTGCAGTGAATAAGCGTGTGGTGACCCAATTTACATATTCTGCAGCTATTATGAGATGGGCATGCAACGGTCTTGTGGGATTGGGCCAAACAGGTCATGCAATATTTATGAACGCGGACAGCTTCTATGCGATCGGCCACGCTCATCTCTCGAAAACAAGTGCAGGTTTGCAGAGCGTGAAAACGGCAGCACAGTTGACACTGATATACATCCGGGGTTCTGTAAGAAATCAACAAGTGAATTAGTACGAGCTGGTGGAGTTGGAGCTAATGGACTGTAATTAGAAACTAATAGGATTATATGTATTTGAGCTGATTGGACTATATAGTAGGCGAGTTATTCAATTAGAGTTATGAGTGAGTGGAGGAGGTAGAGGGCATAATTTGACTATTGGTCGGGTATAAATCCCAGCTTGAGTTCTGACCTCAGCGACTCTAACGTGGTTATCGGGGCCTCGATGGAGTTTGAGTACTCTTCCAAGGCACCATTCCTGGGGTGGCAAGAGATCATCTATGATAACTACCAACTCTCCTTCCGCTATATCCTTCTGGGGTTGTCGCCATTTATGACGTCTGTGAAGCTCGCGTAGATATTCCGCTTTCCATCGTCTACTGAATTCCTGATGGAGAATTTTTAATTTTTGCCAGCGATTGAACAGGGATAGGTTTTCTGCAGTTGGCTCCGGGATAGCCATTAGGGGTGCTCCTCGGAGAAAGTGACCCGGAGTGAGCACTAGGGGATCCGTAGGATCTTCGGACATGGGTGATAATGGCCTTGAGTTCAAAACTGCCTCTATGCGTATAAGAAGCGTTGAAAATTTCTCGAAAGTGAATTTTTGGGTGCCAGCAACTTTTATGAAGTGGGTTTTGAAACTTTTAACGGCAGATTCCCACAGGCCGCCCATATGGGAGCGTATGGAGGAATAAACTGCCATTCAAACCCATGAGTTGCCTATTTTTTAGAGTTCTGGACAGACACCTGGGTAAGAAAATTTGCATAGTCTTTGAGTAATGTGCGATGAGTTCCGATAAAGGTTTTTCCATTATCGGACATAACTTTCGCGGGTATTCCTCGTCGCCCCACGAAGCCTGCAAATGCTGCTAAAAATTTTCTTGTGGTTAAGTCTGGACAGACTTCCTAGTGAATTGCTTATGTCGCAAAACAAACAAACACACAAGTGCAAGCCTTATGATAGGGTGCGTTACGGGTTGAACCGGCTTTTAACAAAAAAGGGCCTGCGAAATCTACACCTGTAGTGTGGAATGTTACCGCCAACGTAACTCTTTCGGGAGGAAGGGCTGCCATTATTTGAGAACGAACGTTTTTCCTATGAATAGTGCAGGGTTTGCATTAAACTATACACTTTTTATGTACGATTTCAAACGTGGGACAAAGAACTCTTGCTGAGTCATACGTACCATAAGAGATTTCTCCTCATGCAAGAGAGTTGTGTGGAGAAAATTAAAATAAAGTGTACAAAATCTGGAGTTTCCGGGCAGTATGATGGGATGACGCTCATTGTAGATTAGACCAGAATGCGCCAACCTGCCATTTACTCGCATTAGACCTGTTTTGTCAATAAATAGGTTTAGAATTAATAAACTACTTTTCTTGTTGAGGCGTTGAGTGGCAGATAGTTGTAAATATTCATCGCAAAAGTAACGTTTTTGGGCAACAATAATTAGTTGGGTTTTCGAGCATAGGATTTCCGGAAATCCTTGTTTTGGGAGATCTTTCGAGATTTTTGGATAAAGCGAAACACGTAGGCTATGATGCGCAAGGCTTTTTCAAACGAGGAAAATTGGTCTAGTACATCTTCGGGCTTGCTAAAATTGAAAATTTTAATTTTTCTTTGCTCTGGGGGTAGAGTCTTTGGGTTGGGATTGGGACCAAGCCTTGGGAGTTTCGATAACCCAGTCTGGTCCATGCCACCATATGGCTTTGGAGATAAGATCTTGAGGAGGGTTTCAGAACTCAGAAATCAGACCATGTTAATTTTCTGACTATTCCATATTATACATATATTTATTTACAAAATTCAACCCATAAATTAAGTGTAAAAAGTAAGCTAATTAAGTTAATCGTAAAGGCAAAAATTAATACTAATCCCAAATTCTAAATATTACAATTCACTTATACTAATATTAATTTTGGGGGGTATTTTAAAATCGAATAACTAACCTACCTCAACACTTTCTGTTTTATATGGTAATTGACCCTAGTCTGCTCTCAAAAGTAAATATATATTTCAATTTAGTAGGTAAAAATGTGTATTCCATGGCTTTATTCATAAAAAATAAAGTAGAATTAAAGAGCTTTTTAAAATGACGTTTTCATACATTTTTCAGTTTATAAACATTTTTTAAAGCTACTTTATTTTTTATGAATAAGGCCATTACACTACACATGCACACTCGTATGTGCGTATATACATATATGTATAAAACGGCATTGTCCGTGTGGACGCCTTTCATTATCAAGGAAACCCAATGCAGAAGTTAGACAGCCTACTAAAGGTTGCACCCGCGCAAGGGCGGCGGCATGTCGACGATTAAGGAGAGCGAGGTGGCAACC